ATCTCAGGGAGCCAGGAACCATGTCTGCCTTCTTCCAGTTGAAGGCCGAGCACCCAGGAGCTATCTGGCACACTGTGGGTGTTCCCAGAAAGTGTGCTAAATGAAAGGATCATCAGCTACCATTCCTCAGCCACCAAGACAGACTTTCTCAGCAGAAGCCTCCCTGACATAAACAGCTGGAAGCTGAAGACACTATGGCAGCCCCCTGGCAACTCCTCCTGTCTGTGGTACTTGTAGAGAATCTGCCCTGAGCCAGCAGCGCCCGCACTTGGAAGCTGCTTTGTGCTCAGCAGCCTGCTTTGCATTTCCTCTCTGGTGCCCTTCCTCTGCTGTTCTTCTTGGGAATCAGTCTCCCCTAATGAGGGTAACCCTTCACAGTGACTCCGACCAGTTTTTCTGCCTGGCATTGCCTGAGATCTTAAAGATGTAGCTGTTAAATCAGGATACATTACTCAGCTGCCTCTCAGGAATGCCATGAAAATGTCCAGAGGCTGAGAGAAACTTGAGAAACAAGGCAGCCTTCAAGGGAACCCAAGCACTGCCTGCTGTCCTCTGTGTGCTGTGCTGCAACCGTCACAGGGGAACTCCCTCCAGAATTATGTTTCCAAAGGATAAATCTGGGCTGGGATATAGCTCACTGGTAGTGTGTGTGTTAGTATGTGTAAAGCCCTGGGTTCCATCCCCCCCCACACACATACACAAAGAAAAAACAACAGGACAAGCCTGACATGGAGATGTACCCCTCTAGTCCTAACTCCTCAGAAATCTGAGACAGGAGTCTTGTTTGAGCCCAGGAGTTTGAAAGTAGCTTTGGTAACATAGGATGACCTACCTCCTATCTAAAAGTGAAGAATACAATTCAATTATTGGATACATTAGCCATGATCCAAGGGCCCAGAAGCCATATGTGGCTGTCAGCTACCAATTGACAGCTGTAGGACCTTTCTACTATTGTACACAATTCTATTGGACATCAGTGTTTTAGACCCAAACCCTACTCACCATCCCTCACCAGTTTTCATTTTAATTTTAATTACAGAATTTAGCTAGGCTTTATGGCACACTGCTGTAATCCCACCATTTGGGAGGTGGAGGCCAGCATCACGTATCTTGCCAACTTTCAAAGCCATCCTGAGCTATGAGACCCTGTCTCTCTTTCTCTCTCTCTCTTTTTTTTAAGATTTTATTTATTTATTTATTTATTTATTTATTTATTTATTATGTATCCAACATTCTGCTTCCATGTATATCTGCACACCAGAAGAGGGCACCAGATCTCACTACAGATGGTTGTGAACCACCATATGGTTGCTGGGAATTGAACTCAGGACCTCTGGAAGAACAGCCAGTGTTCTTAACCTCTGAGCCATCTCTCCAGCCCCAAGACCCTGTCTCTTAAAACAAACAGAATTGCAGAATTTACACAGTAAGTACATTAATTTCTTTTCAGTGCTGAGAATTAACCACAAGTCTTTGTATTCTGAGAAAGCTTCCTACCATGGAGCCACACCTCAGCCTCTCACTGTCAATCCTTTAACATGTCAATTTGAGACTTCTTTCCCACATATGGCTTCCAAAATCAGTCTGGTGAATTTCCTCTCAGAATAGCATTCTGCACTTTTCTTCCCATTTAACCGTATCTTGGAGATCTTCATATGAGAATATCTGTGTATCTCTGGTCGAGGTGGAACTCAGGAGCAGAACATTTGCTTAGCACAAACAAGCTTTTGAATTTGACTTTCAGCACTGAATAAAATGTGTAATTAAAAAAGTAAGTTTTCTATGCTGAGTAGTGGCAACACGCTTAATCCCAGAACTCAGGAGTCAGAGGCAGGTGGATCTCTGTGAGCAGGAGACTGGCCTGGTCTACATAGTGAGTTTCAGGACAGCCAAGGCTACACAGAGAAACCCTGTCTGGAAAAAACTAAAACAAAACAAAAAGTATGTTTACTTTTTTCTGGAATTGTTGTAGAGTAATCCATAGCTTTAGTTATTCAGCAATTTCCCTCCTGGTGGACATTTGTATCTCATCTTCTTGGATTTCGAATAGTACTATATGCCAACATCCTGATATTTCTGTCTCTGTTTGGACACATTTGTCTATGATAGATACCAAGAAGTAGAATTGCCAGGTCAGAGAATCATACACCACTGGGGCTTGGCACACCCTATTGCTCCCACCTTGAATGCCTCTCTACATGACTAATTCCTACTCATCAAGTCAAACCAAGTGTCATGCCTTTGTGGAAAATTGTCCTTCCTGCCTCTGTTTTCTCATGGGACTTTCTATCCATATCTCATCATCGTTGTATATGTAGGTCTCAGCCTTATTTCTCTATATACTCCCAAATCTAGCATAGGGTTTAGCATAAAGCAAAAATCCAAATGTTTCCTTGGCTGAATAAACAAACAAACAAATGATGGTACAGTGGTTAGGACATTCCAGAAACTCAAGGTGAGTCTGTGAGTGCCGTAAAAGCTGGCTGTAGATCAACTTGCCACCCGATACTCTGAGACAAACTGCTTCTCATTTGGTTTCTGTCTTTGGCCCTCTGGGCCTGGGCATCTCATCTTGAACTGTTCAGACTGGGGGATGACACTGATGAAGCAGCGTGTAATGTAATTAAGGGCTCTGGCCATAGGGCATAGAAATCTGAGCCCCTGGGCTGGTAGTAGCTGGGAGTTGGGTTTCTGAATACAGGCCTGTTTCCTTTCACCCACAGTCCAATATGCTCTGTCCTTTGAACTCTCCCAGTACCTTAGGGACAATTAAGATCAGCTGCAATATCTCTGCCTTTCGATTCCAGATCTGAACCCCAGGGAAGCCAGATGTTTTCCACTGCACATCCACTTTTCCCTGTGGTCTGATGAATGGCGGCCCTGTTTCCTGAGTCTCCATATCCTGACTTCCGAACATCCCAGAGCCTGCTGCCAACTTTATTTTTAATGAGGTTTTAATAGGCCGTTTCTGTAATTAATTTCATTCTTGTATTTTCACACTTTCTGTCTAGATGCCTAAACGCCCCCAGGCGCTAGGTGGGATGTTAACTGATTCCAAATAATGCAAAACACTATGCCTGTGATTAGACATTTCCCAAGTCCCTCTCATTTGCAATTGCTTTACAATAATTAATTAGCTGGGGCACACAGCCCAGTGGAAGGTCAGCCGGTTACCTGTCAGGTTTTACAGAGGCAGAAATAGATAAGGTGAAAAGATTTGTCCAAGCCCTGAGAGAGTGAGTGTTAAAATTGGTTTCAGAAACCACATCCTCAGGTTTCAGATCTACTGCTCGAGATTTCCCATTCGCGGCCAGAGTCTTGGGCCAAAAGTGGTACAGCACAAGCAACTAAGGGAGACAGTTTCTTGCTCCCAAGTCAGCCTCCAGCGGCTGGTGTTGCTTCTAAGATACGGTCATCCTCAGCACCCACCCCCTTCCCATTTTGTGAGCGGACTCCACTGAGCAAGAAACGCGTCAATGATTCCTTCCGCATTTAGAAACAACACGATTTTGCTATTTTTAAAGCTGTCTTTTAAAAATCCGCGCGCACGTACTCACTTCTAAGGGAGTGAAGGGGGGCTGGGTTGGAAATGTACGTGTTGGAAAGAGAACAGCTAGGCCTGTTGCTTCCCAGAGTGCGTGCGGTCCCCTAGGGGCGGTCCCCTGGGCTCTCCAACCCAGAGCGAATTGTGGCTCCAGGACCCCTGAGCCCCAGAGGCCTGCCACCCCGCTGGCCCGCGTTCCCTCCTGTCTCTTGGGCGCGGGGCACTGCTGCTGGGTCACCAGGTTCAGGAGAGAGCAGGAGGGGCGGGGAAGCCAAGCAGGTGGCGATTAGGTCAGCCTCAGAACATTCTTGGACCGCTCCAGTGGATATAAATAACAGACCCACAGGCTCTGAAATCCCGAGAGGCTGGGGGTGGGGGAGTGAAGAAGAAGGATCTATTTAGGGTGGGGTGGTATCGTGAGGATTCGGAAAAAAAGTCTACATTGGACAAGGAGGTGAAGAGACCAAAGGATTTAAGGATGAACAGAGGTACAAAATCTGGGACTATGAAGACGGAGGGGGAGGAGTTCGTGCTTTTTGTCCCACCACCACCGTGTGTCTGTCCCAGGTCTCAGAATGCGCGCTAGAGCTGCAAGCAGAGCTGTGCTAGGTAGACATGGCTTTACAGTCTCGCTTCTGCTGGACTACAGACCATGGGCAAACCGCTGAAGGTATCTCTAAGCCTCTTTTTCTGACTTCAGAATCCTTATGTTTATAAGGAGCGGGTGGTTTTGAGCCTCCCCAGAGCTAACTGCTAAGAAAGATGCTCTTAGAAAAGAATATAATGCAGCATTGTCCTCGCATACCACCCCAGTGATGCTGTTGCAGGTTCCCGCTCACTCCCACCCGCCTCTCAGGCTCTGCAAAGGTCGAAGAGCGGCAAAGCTGAAATCTAGGTCTCTGCTAGCCTCGCAGCGCCACCTTAGACTGTTGGCTCTCGCTCTGCACCCAGAAGCAGAGCCTATGTCCCGCCCCCCAAGAGCCACCCGGCGCCGGGATGCCTGCAGTCCCCGCAGCGGGGATGCTGTCGGTGGGGTTAGGGCGGCGGCAGCGCGGAGGGGGCGGGCCCGGGGGGCCGGGCTTCCCGGGGGAGGGCCCTGCTCGCTCCAGGAGGCGGTGGCCCGAACCGGGGAGTGGTAAGACTCTGGACCGAGCGTGGCCGGATCCCCCCACCCACCGAGGGGCCTGAGAGGACGCGGTGAGTGCCTTGGAGGGGACGCTGGGGAACGCGGCGGCAGTGCCGTGACTCTAGCTCGCTCTTTGGTCCTCCGGCTCTTGAAGTTGGCAATCGGACGGACTCCCGCTCAGGAGACCCGGGCCATTGGCTGCCACTGAGCGCAAGGCCATCTCATCTGCTACGCCAATGAGGCGATTCTTCGCGCCAGCCGCGGGTAATGGGGCGTTCAGGCTGGAGGAGCAAGCCATCTTTTGGGGGCTCCTACAGGATCCCAAATTGCTCTCCTCGCTCCCGTCCTGAAGCCCTAGAAGGGGCCTCTGTAGAAAGCCGAATTTTGCCCCCTACCGCGTTTCACGCCACCATCTGTAGTTCACAGCCTGGCTAGCCCTGGCAGGCAGCGCCCCTTACCCTCTGCAGTAACCAGCTGGTCCCACCTTCCCACCGAGACCAAGTTCAACAAGTTTGTCCAAGAAGTCCTAGAGCCTCCATGTCTAGGCCTGGCTATGCCTGTCTGTGTGGCTGGCTCCACCAGCTCAGAGTTGTTCAACACCGTGCCTTCTGGGATCGGGGGGTGGTTTGTCGAGTGCCGCTGTATGTAAGGGAGGAGGCCAAAGACCGGCAGCCCCTGGGTTCTGAGATTTGGTGTGGAGGCTCGAGGTTAGGAGTGCGTCATTAGCGAGCAGGCACCTCAGCCGGTAGGTCGGGTTTCCAAAAATGCCCCTTTGTTATGCCCCTCCTTGGCCCTGCCTCCTCCCCCTTTCTTTGCGCCACCCCCTCCCCCAACCTTCCAAAAGGTTGTGCCAGTCTCTTGATTCTACGTGCCCCTCTCTGGATCAGCAACTACCCCCCTTCTGCGTCTTCAGTCCTAGGTCTGACTGGGAGAGGCTGCTGGTGAAGCCCTTGGGCGAAGCCTGTGTGACTCAGGACACAGGACTGGGCAGGGCAGGGTGGCTTTGCTCTCTCCCAGGCCCGTGTCCCCAGCTTCTGGAAAAGGGTGGGGGCTAGCTTATGTGTAGGAGACAAGCGAGGCCTAAGCCATTGGAGCTCAGGTGGGGAGGGCCGGTGCTATCCTGAAGCCCAGAACTCCCAGCTCGGCACTAACCGCTGAGAAAAGACCCTGCCAGTGTTCCAGAAGCCTTCTCTAACTGGATAGGTGGAGGTCCTGGGCTGGAAAGATTTTAACTACCTGTTCTTGCTCTCTGAGCTCTTGCTGTGGTAGAGTGTGTTTACTCAGATTTGAGTCTCTGCTAATGTCAGGAGGCACAAGGTGCCAATCCTCCTCAGCAGGGACCAAGGTGCCAGGTCCGCCCCCATAGCTAGATGAAGCTGGGGTGCCGGGCCTGGCTGTGCCTGGGGCTCCAGCTTGTGTTTGCTCTGTGAGGCCTGAAGGAGCTGTGCCAGCCCTACACACACAGCCTGCTCTGTTCTGGGGCCAGGGAGAGGGAATGGGTGGGGGGCAGCTCTCCTGGGATCTGGGAGCAGGGAGGCTGGAGTAGGCAAGGGGCCCCAGGCCCTGGATGGTTCACTGGGACAGCTCCAAAGGCCAAATGATTTATGGTTACTGCTCTTTCTCTCCCCATCTGGCTGGCAAGCCATTCTGGACAAGTGGGGCTGTCTCGAAAAGAAACAAGGTGAAGAGCTAGTTGGGGGCAGTGCTCTGTGTCCTGGGATCTTCACTGCCTGTATGCTAATGGGGTCTCTAGGGAGAGGCTTGTCCCCCTCCTGCCAGCAGAGGAAGGAAGTCAACTTAGGCCAGGCTTTTCCATGGTTGCTGTAGCCTGCAGGTTTTCTGGTCTTCAGATGGGACATCATTCCTTCCTTTCCTTTTTGGTGCTGGTGATGGAACCTCTGGCCTCAAGCATGTTCTACCTCTGAGCTATGCCTCCAGTCCCTTGTTGTTACTGATTCGGATGCCTGGGGTAACACAAACTAAAACTGCAGAAGTTTGTCCATGACTGTGGACAGGTCCAGTCATGACCTATGGAATGTATTGGGGGACCAGGATCACAGGGGTATGGGAGCCCTGAGGATGGAGGAGTGATGAAGGTGTCCCCATCTGAGTTTTGAGAATGAGCAGAGGTTTACCAGTTTAGAGAGAGCACTGTGACGGAGTCCTGCTTTGGTTGCTGCAATCTCATACTTTCGTCTTCTTGACCCACTGTACCTTAGGCCTTAGGCTATCTCAGAGAAGAAAGCAATTTCCTTCTATGGACCAAGAATCAGTTGGTACTGGGGAGAACTGAGACCTTGCCTAGAGTCAGGAGGCTGTATGTCACTGTGTCATCTACTCCCTGAGGGAGAGAGAGAGAGAATCTGGGGTAAAACTTTACCTTGCCCTCCTCCCCAGTTCTTCTAACTGGCTGTGTGGCTTGCTGGCTGTTCATGAAGCCCCACCCTGGGCTTTTTGAGGGCAGAACGGAATTGTTGTATCAGGACCCCTTGAGACTTTCCTAGATGTGTGGTGGTGGTAGGGGGCAGGTAAGTGTCTCATTTTGACTGATGGATCTTTCAAGTGTTTCTGGTTCATTGCCTAATTTGAGTTTTATATAGCATGGACACTGACCAGGTGGGGGAATTTCCACCTCATAGCAAGCTGAAGCTCCCTTAGGACAGTACAACACAGTTGTCCAAAAACTTCCTGGTCATGATAGGGCCCAGGCCTCTTGGCTCTCTTTCCACCCTGCTCAGCACAGATAGTTGCTGGAGTTATGAGCTGGGTACCTACTCAGTTGGACTGCTTTGTTCATGGGGTTGCCTTGACATTCAAGGGACAGGAGTCCTCATCTGCAGTAGGAGTGTGGGGCTTTCTGCCCACCACCCACCCCTGTCTGTCACCTAATCCCCTGCTGGATCGTGTGACCTGCCTGGCATTCTCAGCCTGGAATCTGCCACTTCTGACAGCAGTTGCTATATTGGGGGAGCTGGGCACCGCCCTGGACACTGGAGGCGCCCAACCCTTACTCCTTCCTGTATTCTTGTTAACTTCAAGGCATAGTGGCAGCCTGGAGACTTGGACAGGGGTCCTTGAAGTGATCTGGAGACCCCAGGGTATGTACAGGGTGGTCTGAGAAGGGTAAACCCAGAGGAAGCAGGGGAATTTAGGAGCTGCTATCTTTGCCCCTATCCTGCCTCCTCCTGGGGGCTTCTGGCCCTTTGTTGCTCAGTCCTTGCTCTGATGGTTCCTTGGGTGGTGGGAATGGCAGTGGGACCATGCTTTGGACTATTAGAAGGCCTTTTCCCAGCCCCCTAATTGATCTCACTTTTTTGCTTACTTATTTGCCCTCCACAGCACCACATCTGCCACCATTCCGTGCTGCAGGGACACCATGGCTCCAGAAGAGGACGCTGGAGGGGAGGTCTTAGGGGGCAGTTTCTGGGAGGTAAGCAATTGGGGACCGGGTTTGGAATGACAGTAAACTGTCCCCCCTCTCTCTGGGCTCAGCCACCTATCCAGTGGAGGAGCCCAACTATCAGCCCAGCTGGAGAGGGGCCTTTTCCCTGATAAAACTATCCCTCCTGTGTGCCCCAGGCTGGGAACTACAGACGGACGGTGCAGCGTGTTGAAGATGGGCACAGGCTGTGTGGGGACCTGGTTAGCTGCTTCCAAGAACGTGCCCGAATCGAGAAGGCCTATGCCCAGCAGCTGGCTGACTGGGCCCGCAAGTGGAGGGGTGCTGTAGAGAAGGGTGAGCCAGCATGTAGGCCTAGCAAACAGCACAGGTTGTAAGGGTGGGACCCTCAGGGTGGCTTCTGCTTCTTGAGGTCTTGAGGGTGTTAGGGATGTAAGACCTCAAGCATGCATGACAAGAGGGATCTATATTCTTACTCCTCTGCCTGTTGTCTAGAGCAGAAATGAAGATCAGAGAAGGGACTTGGCTGAAGCCACACAGCTAAAAAGAGCTAAATGTGGAGTGTGGACTTCCTACTGGGTAGAAAGATCCCAGGCACATAGTTTGTGTGGCAGAGTTGGGTTTACTCTTGGCTGCATTCATAGATATGATGCTTTGGACAAGTTAACCTGACTTCTCTAGGCTTTAGTTTTTTGTTTTGTTATTTTGTTTTGCCTGTTCCATATTGGCAATGACACTGTCCCCATGGTAGTAGTAGAGGCAAGAATTCATGAGATCGCTCATGTCAGGGCACAGAGTAGGCATTCCTAATGCAGCACCTAACATTGCTGCTGTTCATCTTTGTACCCTCCACTCCTACCATGCCTGTCTGGCACCCAGAGCAGGACAGGGAGAGGGGATGGCTATATTTAAGATAGCACCCCACCTGGCCCAAGCTCATCCCTCTGCAGGCCCACAGTATGGCACTTTGGAGAAGGCCTGGCATGCCTTCTTCACTGCGGCTGAGAGGCTGAGTGAGCTGCACTTGGAGGTGAGGGAGAAGTTGCACGGTCCAGACAGCGAGCGTGTGCGGACTTGGCAGCGAGGGGCTTTCCACCGTCCAGTGCTGGGTGGTTTTCGGGAAAGTCGGGCTGCAGAGGATGCTTTCCGTAAGGCCCAGAAGCCCTGGCTAAAGAGGCTGAAGGAGGTGAGGCTGGGAGCAGTGGTTATTGAAGGCAGGTACCTTCTGGTCTGCATGGGACCAGGGTGTGGCGTCTAGGATCCAGAGCTGTTTTCATGTGTGTTAGGTTGAGGCTTCCAAAAAGAGCTACCACACAGCACGCAAGGATGAGAAGACAGCCCAGACTCGGGAGAGCCACGGGAAGGCAGACAGCTCCATGTCCCAGGAGCAGCTTCGAAAATTGCAGGAGCGGGTGGGACGATGCACCAAGGAGGCAGAGAAGGTACAGCCTCCTGGCAAAGCTTCCTGGATGCCTTTCCAGACCCTAGGCTCTTCCTGCTCTAATCCCAGATGCCCCTCTTTCTTGACATGGTTATTTAAAACAGTAACTTGGACTGGGCGTCAGGGTACACCCTTTATAATCCCAGCCCTCAGGAAGCAAAAGCAAGTGGATTTCTTTAAGTTTGAGGCCAGCTTGGTCTACTTAGAGTCTCATACTTTATATGTAACTTCAGACCAACCAAGGCTATTGTAGTGAGACCCTGTCTCAACAAACAAACAAACATAAAGGAGGAACTTGGGTCTGGGGAGATGGCTTAGCTTGTGCAGTGCTTGTTGTGTAGGTAAAACGCTAGGCAAGGCAGCTGGGGTGGATAAAGGGGAGGTGCTGAAGAGGGTTTGTGTGTGTTGGTAATGGATGTCTAGGTACATCCCTGGACCTCAATGGCCAGCTTGTCTCATGGCCTGAGGAAGGGGCTGAGGAAGGCACACTATATTGACATTTGGCCTTCACACACACACACACACACACACACACACACACACACTTGCATATGCACAGAGAAACCTGAATAAAGGTGATGTTTTACCCAGGAGAGGAATGACATGTTTTTTAACTCAGGGGAGTAATGGTGGGGTTCCAGGCAGTTGAAGCCTTAGTTACCTGGGATCAGTTCTATCATTGCAGACTCTGTCCTCTGCCCTGAATGTCCTTCCCTCTAACATCCTATCCCCTCTAAGAGGTGTCATGTCTGTAACACCTCCTCCAAGAAGCCTACTTTGATTTCTCTCAGTCTTGAGATTCTTATAGGTGTTCTTCTTGAATGTCACTTCCCTTGTTAGGCTGCTTCTGTCAGTTCCTGAGGGTAGAAAATGAGTTTCAGGCCTGACTGCCCCCGGTGGCCAGCTCCAAGTCGAGCTTGTGGCTATGTTCAGTGAATACTGGTGCAGTCCTGAGTGGAAGGCAGTCAGTCCTCACTGCCTCCTTTCTCTCTCACCCAGATGAAAACCCAATATGAGCAGAGCCTGGCAGAGCTAAATCGCTATACCCCACGTTACATGGAGGACATGGAGCAGGCCTTTGAGAGCTGCCAGGCTGCTGAGCGCCAGCGGCTTCTCTTCTTCAAGGATATGTTGCTCACCTTGCATCAACACCTTGACCTCTCCAGCAGTGACAAGTACGGCCTGCACACTGGATGGAGGCTTCCCTTGACTTCCTTTGGGTTCTGGCTGGGTTGAATGGAATTCTAGGGACTTGGGCTTTCCTTGTCTGATTGCGCGCCTCACAGGTTCCATGAGCTCCATCGAGACCTGCAGCAGGGCATTGCAGCGGCTAGTGATGAAGAAGACCTGCGCTGGTGGCGTGGCACACATGGGCCCGGCATGGCCATGAACTGGCCACAGTTTGAGGCAGGTGTTACAGGCTGGGTGGGACTTGGAGGTGGGTTTGGCTCAGTGTAGGCTCCAAGAAGATGACAGGTTTGGGATAAATCAGTGAAGGTGGTCCAGGTGGCCCTATTGCCACCATGGATACAGTCCAGCCTGACTCGGGAAACTCTCTCCACAGGAGTGGTCCCTAGATACACAGAGAGCAATCAGCCGGAAGGAGAAGGGTGGCCGGAGCCCTGATGAGGTTACTCTGACCAGCATTGTACCTACAAGAGATGGCACTGCACCCCCACCCCAGTCCCCAGCATGCCCAGCATCTCCAGGGTGAGAGTTAGGATCCTGGCCAAAGCAAAAAAAAAAAAAAAAAAAAAAAAAAAAAAAAAAAAAAAAGCCCTATCCCTTGCTTGCTCCCCTCTCTTGCTTCTCTCCCTTCACATTAGTACCTGAGGGCCATCTTGGGAGAGTTAATACGATCATCTCACAGAGGTTTAGATTTGCCATGTAGTCCTCATGTTCCTTTATGGTTTGGCTGTATAAAAGCCCTGTGCACAGAGTTGTACCTGCATTTGCAGTTGTGGGTGGCTCCCTCTCATATGTGTCTTTAGCTTTCCTTCTAGTGGCAAAGCCTTTGGCTTGGGCTCTGTATGATCAGTCTTGTCCCCTTGTGTCTCCCTCTCTAACAGTGGGCAGGACGAGGACTGGTCAGATGAGGAGAGTCCCCGGAAGGCTGCCATTGGGGTGAAGGTGCGGGCGCTTTATGACTATGCTGGCCAGGAAGCTGATGAGCTGAGCTTCCGAGCAGGTACGTGTGTGTGTGTGTGTGTGTGTGTGTGTGTAGGGGGAACTTTCATGTTCCTTTTCACTTCAGCCCCGTGCTACCTGCTAGAGCAGGGTGTAGAAAAGGAATGCCAAAGACTCCCTTCTCAAGGGTTGTTCAGGGTCCAGCCAGTTGGGGCCTGACGGTGGTTGCTGCCCTGGATTTTAGGGTTGGGTAGCTTGCTGGCTGTGTTCTACCCTGGTCCTTATGCTATCCCATCCCCCTTAGTCCTTGACCTAGTTTTGAGACTGGTGAAGCCAGTGCCTCTGGCAGTAACCAATCTATCTTCCTTCAGGGGAAGAGCTGCTGAAGATGAGTGAGGAGGATGAACAGGGCTGGTGCCAGGGCCAGTTGCAGAGTGGCCGCATTGGTCTCTACCCTGCCAATTATGTAGAATGTGTGGGTGCCTGAGTGCCCTGACAGCCCTATTGCACCTTCTCTCTATCCTGGGCCAAAGCTCAACCCTTCCTGGACTGCTGGACCTGAGGGCCCTGAACCATGTGCTGCTGCTGCTGTCCCTCTGTTTCCGCAGGAGGGAAGATGTCTTAGGGCCCATGAAGTGAAGGGGTCTGTGTCTAGAAAGAGGCTAACAGAGTTCAGGTTGAGGGCAGGAAGGGAGGTTGGAGTGACAGAGGTGTCTGAGCCTCCCCCCCTCCCGCATTTGAGTCATCCCGGGAGTAGGGGATCCGGTTCCTAAACTGTCTGGGAGTTCCTGGGGTGAGGTTGGTGAGAATGTAGTTTGGGGCTAGCAGCACCCTCTTTTGTGACTTGTAGTGTGTATTAAACTTTATCAAGAATAAAAACTCCATCAAGTGTTGTGAGCATTTTTTGACACCCCATTCTTGAAGCTGATGGAAGTCATGGGGGAGGTTTGTGGGCCCAGCATGTGTCATGGAGCTGGGATTGCGCAGGCAGTTGCCTCCTGGTATCTGCCCTGAAACTTCAGGACTGTAATCTGGACTTGAGATGAGGTATGTTGCTTGCGGGCCTCTACTCCAGACCGGTTGCTGAACTATGAGCTGGAGCCCCGCCAGTGCCTTCCCGATGGGACTAGGAGTACTCGGGTGACTGTTAATCATTACTCATCCATCGGCAACTCATCAAAGGCTGTGGCCATGGCCTTCTGCCAGACAACGGTAGCCAGGGGCCCTGCGGTATGCAGACCCCAGCGTCCAGCAGGAACTCCCGAGGAACTTTGGGCCAGTCCACGAGCCGTCGCTCGCTCTGGCTGCGGATTGGCCAGGGGAGGCGCGGCGTTCACTCTCAGGCCCATTGTGGAGCTCCTGGCTGCTGACGTCATGGTTCAGTCCTACCCGACGCTCATTGGTCCAGATCCGGTCGAATCACTCCACTCGTAGGCGGGTCAGAGCTCTGCGTGGCCGGCGCGGTTAGCCCGCCTTCTCCGGCGCGGATTGGCCCGCGGCGCGACCTGTCGGTCGCGGTTGTGTCTGGGAAGGAGAGAAAATGGCGGCGGAGCCGAGCAAGACCGAAATCCAGACTCTTTTTAAGAGGCTTCGTGCAATTCCCACCAACAAGGTGCTTGAGCGGGAGGGGCACGGGTCCTGGCGCCGGCGGAGAAGACGTCTCTTGTCCGCTGGGACCGGAGGGAGGGCGGGGACGGAGGTGGGAGGGTTTCTTGTGGTTTCAAGCTCTGGGCCTCGACTCTGGGCCCTAACCACTCAACTTGTCGCCTTTTCCACTTAGGCATGTTTCGATTGTGGCGCCAAGAGTCCGAGTTGGGCAAGCATCACGTATGGTGTATTTTTGTGTATTGATTGCTCCGGAGTGCATCGCTCCCTGGGTGTTCATCTCAGCTTTGTCAGGTAGGTTCTGTGTTAAGAGTGCTGTGCTTCCACAGGGGCTGTGTGGTCAGCAAGGGGAAAGGACGCCTCCACTTGAACCTTTCTGAATTCGGTGTTTGGATACTTCCAGGAGGGAGTTCTGTTAGCCTATTGGGGGGCGAGCCGCCTCTGTGGGATTGTAGCCATAAAGTCTGGATCAAACACCCCCTCTTCTCACGGTTAACCTGAGACTCAGCATCAGTTTAGGTGAGAAGTTAGCTGCATTGCCCTTGTTACTGCAGATAGATTGTCTCAGTAGGTCTCCAGTGCAATTCTGACCGCCCTTAGTAAAGAGTGCCTGCATTCCTGATAAGTCGACCTCCTTTTGAATCTCCTCAGAAATAATTGGTACTCTTTGGATTAGGTGAAGAGCAAAGATTTCAAACACAGGGAAGAGAGGAGGCAATGGGACAGTGACTGATGGTTTCCTGGACACCCACAGAAGCCTGAGGCCAAATGACAGGCGTAGGCTTGACAGGGAAGCTTGTTTTGGTGTCGATGGTAGGTGACACACAGCTCTTGTGCTCAGGTCCACAGAGTTGGATTCGAATTGGAGCTGGTTGCAGCTGAGGTGTATGCAGGTCGGCGGGAATGCTAATGCGGTAAAGCTTCTTTTATCTTCCCCAACCCCCATTCTTTTGCCTGGGTACTTAACTTTCCTATGATTTTCTTGGAGTAAGTGTGTTCTCTGTTCACAGAGTTCACAGCTCTGTAATGCCACCATACACAGCTTCTTACTTTCTTTTCCTCCTCCTCCTCCTCCCCCTCCTCCTCCTCTTCTGTCTCTCTCCCCACCTCTCTCTCTCTCTCTCTCTCTCTCTCTCTCTCTCTCTCTCTCTCGTTTTGTTTGTTTTTTGAGACAGGGTAGACAGGGTTTCTCTGTGTAGCAGCCCTGGCTGTCCTGGAACTCCCTCTGTAGACCACGGTGGCCTCGAATTCACAGAGATCCACCTGCCTCTGCCTCCAGAGTGCTGGGATTAAAGGTGTGTGCCACCACCGCCTGGCTATATTCACAACTTCTTTTAAACAGGCTTAAATACAAACTGACCTGGGCAGGTGCTGTTGGAAAAAGCCCAGTGGAGTGGAGTCTGCACATTTCCTGGAGGAAGGATAGCTAGAGTGGGATTGCATACTTTGTTCAGTCTCTTACACTTTCCTGTTTCAGAGGGTGGGAGGTGCCATGGTGTTTTTTTGGAGGTATGAGTGACGGTGTTTACTGAGTGAGCCTTGCAACCTGAGTTCAATTCGGGAAACTCAATAAAAGCTGTAAGGAGAGAACCAACTCCACAGAGTTGTCCTTTGGCCTCCCCACACATGCTGTGGTGCGCACATAATAATGAAAATTAAAGGGTTTTGTTTTGTTTTTTTAAGGAATGTTGAAAGACCTTTACTTCTATGAAAACTTGTTGGTGTCAGTAATATGTATCCTGTATAAACAATAACCCGTTTGTTAAAGTGTCACCTGTAATGTGAGTACCATTATCTTTGTTGAGAGTACTTGTACATACATGCTACATTCTTTTTTTTTTTTTTTTTTTCTCTCTAGACTGCCTTTTTCCGCCAACATGGATGTATGGCCAATGATGCTAACACGAAATATAATAGCCGAGCTGCCCAGATGTACCGAGAGAAGATCCGGCAGTTAGGGAGTGCAGCTCTGGCTAGGCATGGCACTGATGTAAGTACTTGTTCCTGGCTTGGGGTGATGGGTAGGAGGTGTTAACAGCCCTGAGTTTCACAGTATCTCCTTCCTTCCAGCTTTGGATAGATAATATGAGCAATGCTCCTAGTCACTCTCCAGAGAAGACAGACTCTGATTTCTTTACAGAGCATACTCAGGTGAGTTCCATGGGGTCATTTTCTTTGATAAAGGCTATACCTTTTGTGATGGTGATGGAAAAATGCTTTGCATAGGTACGATATCTCAGATAATGCCTGTGGTTCAGAATTGCTAATTACTGCCTTCTGGGTAAGACTAGAAGTTTCTTCCTCCTATTTATGGGAGTGCAATGGACTCCTCTTTAGAAATGAATCCTGGTGGTGGAGAGTAGTTTGAAAGCTCAAGAGGTCTCAGGGACCCTAAAACACCCAGATTTTCAAAAAGTGAGCAGGAGTTGGAAAGACAATGAGGATTCCTTCTCCCGTGACCCATCTTAAGATAAAGCCTTCTACTCTTTTGACAATGGGCATTGAAGTCAGAGTCTTCTCAGGTCAGCATATCATCATCTCTGCTTGGTATTCCTTTGATGTGGCCAAGTCACTTAACCCAGCAAAACCTCACTTTCTAAAATCCAGACATAGCTGGAAGCTATGCCTCCTACCTATAAGTAGGTGTTGCTTCTTAGGAGGATTCACTGAAGCTTCTGGGATCTGGCTTCCTTTTTAGGCCCCTGTCTGGGATACAGCAGATACTGAGCCTTCAGGGACCCAGCAACCAGCCCTACCTTCAGAGAGCAGTACCCTGGCACGTGAGTTTAGCCGAGATCTCAACCAAGTGGTTCGGACACTTAGCCAAGGACATAGGAGTTAGGAGAAGGTTTCCCTGTGTCCTTGGGTGGAATGGGATTCATTTTAGTCCTTGGAGGAAGGGGTGGGCATATATGTTTTGGTGGCAAGCAGAGGAAAGCCAGTGACTCTTACCACCTCCTTAATGTAACTCCTGTCATTGTATTCACAGAACCTGAACATGGCCCTAACACTGACCTCCTTGGAACCTCACCCCAAGCTTCTCTGGGTATGACAGCTGGCAAGGGTGGGGAGGCTAGGAGAGAGTGGGCCTCAAGTATGTGTTCTAAATCTCTATTGCCTAGTCATGTGAACTGAGCACAGGAGACTGAGCAACTGACCCCTCTTAGGTAGGAACTGGAATTGAAGTTCTGACCAACTTTTGGACCTTTGAGCTGACAAACCTGAATGGCTGTCTTTTGAGTGTGGGGTTGGATCTAGCCAAAGCATGGGAGCCTGGAATGGGACTGGACACCTGTCCCTGGTGTTAGGCAGGACTGACCTGTTTTGTCCATTTCATGAGGTGTGGTGATAGCTTTGAGCTGCTCATGGCTAGAGGCAGTACTGTCCTTTCAAAGTTCAGCCCTTTCCTACTCTTGAGTGGCCTTCAGACTTGGTTAGGGTAAACAATCCCTCTGCTGACCTTGATTTGTTCTGTTGACTCTTGGGGGTTGGGGCAGGAAGCCAGTGGAGTGACTGTCCAGCTGGGTCTGAGAAGGCTTGGCATAGCTTTGAAATAGGCTCTGTAGGCCTCTGGGTTTGAGAGCTTTATGAAGCTTCTGGGATGAGCCCTTGTTAGCCACAAGTCTGTTTCTCCTCCAGAGTCCATGTATCTGTCAGCTAAAGGGACCTCTTCTGCCAGAGGTAACCAGTGGTTTGGGAGCCTGTCCCCTGCTTGCTGCTCTCTGCTCTAGGAGCTGAGGCTGTTCAGCAGCTCCCCTACTTAACAGTTTTCACTTTGGTTTGGGTACTCTTTGGTGCTTCAGGTCTAGGCTCTTACTGCTACTTTTGGGGCATCAGCAAGCTCCCCTAACCTTGTCTGTCTTTGGCTTGAACAGTCTTGGTTGGAACTGGTGGTGGCAGTTTTGCCTTCCCGTCTGAAGCAATTCTTTTTAGATGTTCTTGCTGTGAAGCTGCATGGTGTGGACTGAGCCATGTTCTCTGACCTTCCTTTGTCCTATCTCATGCCCACCTTCTTCCTCACACAGAACTGAAAAGCTCCATTATTGGCAAGAAGAAGCCAACAGCAGCTAAGAAAGGGGTAGGTGGGGAGAGGCAGTATTGTAGGGTGGTGAGAGCTGGTGTTGAACTCCTTCAGTTCTTCCTATGTACTGGCTGGCTATAGACTGGCAAAGATACTAACTTGTCTGAACCTTGTTTATTAAAGGGATTTAAAGATACCCATCTTAAAGGGACTGCTGGGCAGTAAGCAAGATGAAGCACATCTAGTACTTAGAGTGCTTGGCACATAGCAGGCC